ACGTCACTGGAAACAGTGTTTCGGCAAGTTGACTTGTCTTCGTCAGGGCAACAGCGTTGCCTTGACAAAGAAAAGTTCACTTGTCAAAACGTTGGCTCCATCGACATTTGGTGCGATAATTTTTCGAATGATTTACTTCATCACGGGTATTCGATCGAGTGACACTATTAGAAGACTCACAAATTTTGAAACCGCGGCTTCAAGAATTTCATGAGAAGCAGCCTATATTTACTTGACATCATTTGAACTACACAAAAAAAAAAAAGAACTAACACTATGTAGCCGAGCAAACTCGAATTCAAGTCTCTCAATAAACGCATTTTACCGACAGGAGCTTGGCTGCCACCTTCACCGATTAGTCAAGCGACACTGCACTTCTGCCAGTCCAGTCAGGCTTACAGTGTACTGGGTTTACTCGTATGTACTCATGCGAAATCAATACGCGCTCAAACAATGGCTCCAAATTCTTGCGCTTACCCGTTGCCCTTAGGAAACGCTGAAAAGCCTTCGCGGAAGTAGAAATCCCAGGGTTAGCGCACCGCAGAGCCGCGGAAAACATGCGTTGCCCGCTTCGACGAATGCATGGTTGACTGGTTCGGCGCAGTTCACTGCTGCTTCCGTTCACTGCCCGCCACAGCTTGCTGTCTTTATCTTTCCCGTAGTTGAGATGCAAACTGGGCGAGACAACTGAGCGCGATACAACCAAGATCCAACTACTGATATCGCTGAGCGAGGGGCGAGAAGGAGCGGAGGCGAGCGCCACAGTGCTACGAACGCAAGTCAATCACTTCCCGCGCTTCGCCTGATTTAAAATTCACGAAATGAGGATTAAAAAAAGACATATAAACAAAAAACAAAAAAAACTTCTTTACGGGGGTACTAAATTATTTTTTCGTATTTGTAAAAACTTGTGAAAACCAATTAATGCGAACATTCAGAGCAACCACACTCAGTTCAACCAGATCTTAGGACACCCGGCAACCGCTACGAGCGTGCACATGCATGTTCCTTGAAACCGAAACTAGCGATGAGTTTCCGGGGCCTTGCCTAACTCCTTTTTCCCGGGCCATATCTCTCCCTGCCAAGTTTCAAGCAAGCTGGTTGACACGAGGAAAAAAGCGTGCGTCAAATCTCTGCAATTCTGCTCATGCTTGGATAAGTGCTGCAGGGCCCCTTTAGCGATTTACGTTCCTGTTCGTAGTGCATACTTCAAACACTTAGTGCGTGGATTTTTTTTCCAACTTGCTATGCACCCACTACATGGCCTTAATTAAGGGAATAAACGCAGTAACGTGTGTGCATTTTGTAGTGGTTGACCGGCTTTATACCATGAAGTCGTTATGATAATTAATTGCATGTTCTCACGTCCGATGGCAATGCACGCTTGTACCATACATTATTGCTGCTATATTTCATGTTGCATTGTGAAGCATATATGTATACACGAAGCGTGTGTTTGTAAAACATGAAAGTCACTTTCCCTGCATTTCCAAGCAGAAGTTATTTTGACTGTATTTACAAGCATACGCGTGGGTGTGTGGTGGAACGCCCACTTGCCATGCAAATGACCCAGGTCCAATCCTCACTATGGCCCACGTTTTTATTATTTTATTTGCATCATTTTCAAATTTTCGGTCACGCATAAAATGATTTTTCGCTTACAACCAACCATGCCGATGTCAGAATTTCCGCGAAACGAGCTCTTTAAAGGGACACTAAAGTGAACTATTAAGTCCAAGTTGATTGTTGAAATGGTGGTCCGGAAATTTCGTAGTAATATTTTCGTGCCAAGGAAGGGCCTATATTGAAATAAAATCGCGTTTCAGCGCTCCGCATTGGGTTAGCGCACTTCAAACTACCCGCCTCAAGAAGCGGACCGTGTCACGTCACTGTTTGAAGTTTATTTTATTTCTTTCTGATACAGAAAGAGGAGTAAGAGCTAAAGGCCGTATTGCCTGACAGAGGCTCCTACTCCCATGCGCATTCGGCATGCGTGCACATGTTTGCATGCGATGCGAGTAAACGCAGTAAAGCCGCGCATAACGTTGCCCGGCTTTACTGCGCTAGTAGCAGCCGCACGAAAGCAGCGGGAGCCACAGCAGCAACAACGGCCATTGATCAATTTCCCGCCTTTGGCTTCGAGATTGCAGACGCTTTTGTTAGTAAGTAAGTAAGTAAGTAGGTGCTCCTAATCCCTTTTGGCACAGGGCAGGCGCCAGCAGCGCCACAGGACAAAGTTGTGCGCTTCAACGCACATCCATACACACGCACACACACATCACCAGTCAGGCGCTTGCCGCGCCACCGTCAAAAAAAAAAAAAAACATTTTGTGTTTTACACGCACTTCACGCGAACACGCACTCACACGTTTTCCACTTTACTGTTCGAAGAAAGAAAGGTCTGGTAGTAAATTGCCCGTTTCGCCACCAGGGGAAACGTGCCCTCGGCCAAGTCTATCCAGTGGCGTCGGCGTCGTTTAGATATTTTCTGTCGGCCCTTCGTTGCGCTGGACACTGTCGGGGTGTTTGTCCCACCTGCCACACAGTCTGTCCCCGAGTTTTAGACGTCGCTTGGCACTCTCGGTGTGTTCGACTCGGGTGTCGACGGATCATCTGGGGAGACCCAGATATCCGCCAGGTTTATCTTGGGTAGGTCCCTCGCTCCGAGTCGCGGGCAATCCATCAGGATATGTGGGATGGTTTCTTCCGTGGCCCCGCATAGGCGGCACGACGGGTCCGTGTCGAACAGTTCCCAATGCCGCTTCCGCGTGGGCAGTGACCCCGTCCTGGCTTGGAACAGGAGGGCGCTTTCCCGGTCGCCCCTGTAAAATGGCTCACGGTCTGGAGCCTGCTTGTATTCGAGGTATAACTGTAGGCTCCTTTTCTTGCCGCCGACGTGCGCCACATCTCTGTGCTGGCTTCGGTTATAGTGTTTTTTGTTATTATACGCCATTCTCGTTCCGATTTTGCTTCTTCCAGTTTTGTGTTATGGCCGAATTTATTTTCCAGAGAAGCAGTCGTTTCATCCACTGTGTTTTTATGCCCCTGTATCGGAGGTGTAGGTATATGCGCTGGCTGTAATTTGTTTCTGGTAGAAACTTTAGCCGGCCCGCATATGTATTTTTGACCTTGCTTCGCGTGCTTCGAAGTTGACCAGGCCAACTCCCCTGTTACTGCTGCGTTTGCTGTTGCAAAGCTGCCTCCCAGTAGCCAGCGCCCCAGTTCATTTTGGTGGCGGTCCAAACATCGCACTGTTTGGGTAGAGTACGCCAATGTGTCACCTGCGTAGGTTATTGCAGGCACGGCAAGAGTCTTCCAAAGTGTGCGGCCTACCCTGTAGGGGTTGTAGGAATGCCGTGACAGGTGCCACACCCTACCTTTTAGGCGGTTGGATTGTTTTAGGAGTAATTCTTGGTGTTTGTCAAGGTAATTCTTTTGGTCTGATATTTAGCCTAAATATCTGTATGTTGCTGTTTTCTTGATGGTGTTGCCTTGGATGGTGATGTTTATGTCTTTGTCATCAATGTTTATGCCCATCCATTGTGTTTTGTCAGTGTTGAATGTGAGGCAATCTTCGTGGGCTACGCGAGAGCATATTCGAGGAGATGTTGCAGGTCCGCTGGGATTCAGCCAATAATACGATGTCATCGGCAAATGCCAAGCATGAAATTTTAGTGTAGATTTCTTGGCGCTCAGTTGTTACGGTGGAAAGACGTAGCCTGGTCCTTCTCTATTTACTTGTCTAGTAGGCTGTTATGTAAATATTGAATAATGTTGGCGATAGTGGGCACCCTGTTTGAGTCCATTTTTGTTGCACCTGTCTAGATTTATATTTGCCCAGTTCATACACTGCCGTACACTCTGCATATAGTGCTTTTAGTAATTTGATGAAGTCTTCCTCAATATTAATTTTTTCTAGCTTCTCCCACAGTCGTGAGTGCGGCACTGATTCATATGCTTGTTGTAGATCCAGGTATGCCAGGTATAGTTGAGATTTGTCTCTGTTTTTCATTTCTATTGCCTGGGTTAGGGTAAAGATATGGTCACTTGTCCGTCTGTTTGGGCGAAATCCATTTTGCGATTCTGACAAGATTAAGGTTTTTTCACAGTGGTTTTGTAGCCTGCGATTCAGGATTGTATTGAAGAGTTTCAGAATGCTACTCAGTATTGTTATGGGGCGATACGCCCCAATGTCACTTGTTTCCTTTCCCTTTCCCTTGTGAATCAGCTTTACCCGGCTTTCTTTCCAAGTTCTTGGTATTTTTCTGCTTGTTTTTAGGCCCCGCTAGATGGCACCACCTGTCCCGTGTAACCGCGCAAAAATTGAATTATTGAACCACTTGCGCCATTCCCTATAGTAACGTCCAGCGGTTCCTTTTTTTTTTTCATGAATCAAACAGAAACAAACAAGCAGCATTTTATTGCGTCCCTTGATGCACGGAAGGTTCTTTATATAGTGGTTAGATCGATTACAAGTGATTTATTGTAGGTGGTCCACCTGATGTCATTGGGATGATTTTGAAAATGTCCTACTGCGGCGCTTGTTCTTGTGCAGTTACCTTAATTTCTTGGCAAGAGCTTGAAAACATTCGGAATGACAAACCCACAGCGCTGAAAGTAGATTATACATATACAAAGGTGTACCTCGCGAGGTGTTGATGATACGCGCAGTGCGTGTGCATCGAATGGTGCGCAAACACTAAAATGTGAATGCATTCTCTGTGCAGCACAGCATGCCGACGCTGGGTCCATCACGTCGCCGCCAGTCAAGCTTCGGCTACAAGTCACCTCCTCCTCTCTCGCTGTTACACCGCTTTCCAATATACCACATGACGCAGAGTATATATTTTAATCAAACAAAACGCGCATCGTGCCTTGCAGCGCCGATTCATATGAAGTTCCTTCGGGCAGCGCTGAGCGCATGCCTGCAGAACAGTGTCTAATATATATCTTTCTAGTGATTGTAAATACTACATGTAAATAAAGAGGGGACCAAACACACACTTGCTGCCACTTTATTGAACAGAGATTTTCGGGTGTACACTGAAAGCATCGCGGTTTGTCATCAATAAAAAAAATCCAGAACCTCTCTGCTTCGCCTGTGTCTGGTCCTCAGACGCACATGCTACAGCTTTTTAATTTTCGGTACACATTAATAAGGCACTTTCGACAAACATGGCTGGCACAGTTTTTTGTACGCGGCCGGAAAGAAACTACCCTTTTGTACTTGCCCAAAACGAGGCTTCTCCGAAACGGCAAATTTGCGATCCACCGGAACGAACTTGGTACGTCCCCCAAAAATGGGGCCTGTCCAGACACACACAACGTGGTCATTGATGACACCCAAACAGAATTTAACAACGCAATATGTACTCGTTCATTTGATCAGGATAATTTGCGAAGGCAGATCTTTGTAGCCCCTGATTGGCTACCTTCCCGAAGTGCAGTAATGTACTTAAAACACCACGTTCAATTCATGTGTACTTTTTTCATCCCATATTGAAAAGTGAATGATTTATAGTATTTAATAAGAAAAAAATGGAAAGCTTTTCCAAAAGCGCTCGCACAGGCATTCACATTCCCCTACAAAAATAAATTTAGACAGTCTATAGACTTCGAAAAACAGTTTAGGCAGTCTATAGTCTCAAACTATTTTAGTACGACAAACTATTTTAGTGCGACTGAGCCCCTTCCCCCAATAAAAAAAAAATAATATCTATAGCACTGATCTTGCTATACTTTTGTTGTTATTATCCAATATATTCCAAATTCCAGGCTGTACCAACAGCAAGAGAAAATGTGACACGTAAACAGCACTACAAATAACGAAACGGTGTACAAATAACATTAGTGCGATAGCGAACTAAGTATGTACAGAGGAAACTATTGTCCACTCGTATACTATTTACACAACACAAAATGACAGGCTGCTTGAGGACTTCGGGTCTCCTAACAAGTGGACCGAGACCAGCCGTCACACGCGCACAGCCACGCACGCACATAATCGTTCAAGAATTGTTCACAACACCGAAGCCTTCCAAGCTTCAGAACCTTCCTGCGACAGAAGGAGTAAAAAATCATCGCTTGCTCGTCGATGAATCCTTGGCACGAAGAAGTGCATTTGTTAAGGACGCCATTTTTTTATGTGGCCGGGCTCGCCATTATGACCAGAGCACGAAAAAGGAAACAAAAGAATCAACATTGTGACTGCAATACATCGCGGTTTTGGATCACTTGTCCAGAAGACTCACTGCAGGCATACATACACAGTAAAGAATGCTAATAGATTCCACAGTAAATAATTAAAAAGTAGTTTTTGCCAGTTGACTCTTTTCTGGACCACTTTCCAAATGCCTTAAGTGACACACGGATGGTGCTAATGCTAACAGCTAAGAAAAAAAAAAAACACCAGAAAAAGGAGAGTCTCGCTCAAGCAGCTAACGTGCTAGAGCGAAAGAACACTCTGGTCACAACGTGCCCAGCACTCGAGATCTGCAGTGCCCTCGTACTGGGACGGGGGAGCTTCCAGTGAGGAACTTCAGTCGTCGTTAGTGAGAGAGGCTCCGTACACGGGTGGCGATAGCATGTAGACGACTGCCTCGTAGGTGGCCATCATGATGGCCGTGTTGGGGATCTGGCGCACGAGCTGCGTTGCAAGGCCCCGGTACAGGCCCTGGTAGCCTTCTTCACGCCACACCAGGAACAGCGTCTGGAAGAAGGACCGGTACTTGTCGCCTTCCTGCCGTAGCCGCGTCCTCGCCACTTCTGCGGAAAAAGATTGAAGACGCTGGGTGAGCATACAGGTGAGAGCCAACTTGCAACGCTACCACACAGTTTTGCATTGGCACTCCTGTCACATTTAAATATAACGCGAACGGCTAAAAACACTTGTAAAAAATTAAGCATTTTTACGCAGAAGTTACACTCCCAAGTTTAGCGAAAATTCGGCAGATCCCACGCACCTAGGAATCAACGTTATGCGAAGCATGCGTAGGGAAGGTGACCGTGTTAAAATTTTTTTTTAGTGACACTTGATGAAATGACGCTAAATATATGTACAAATGTTGCACGCACAGACATAAGTTAAAGAGTTGCAGATGTTTACATAACCAGTTGTTTGCACTTGCACAACGATGCCAACTGGAACATGCGTAGTAGCAGCACCAGAAGCAGATATGAAGCGCTGATGCTCACGAAGATGCTGGCCCTGGACACTGCTACATAAATCAACTTCAGCGCATGACAACTAATCACAATTGATGCTAACCTGACGTGACGGCTGTATACGAGGAGTACATACGCAATGTTTATAAAATTGGGTAAGCAAGCACTGCAACCACTATTAACGATTCACGAAGAATAGCGTCTTCAAAGTAGTTCCGAGATGTGGCGTAGCTCTGTGGTAAAATGCTTCATTGCCACGCAGAATGCTTGGGTTCGATTCCAGCTGGGACCCTGACATTTATTCTTTGCATTTGTCGGGTCGACGCTACTGATGTCAGGTATTTCTTGACGCTCGTGCGTTAAAATTGCCAATGTGTGTTCTGGTCGTTCCTGGGTAGATAGTAAGTGTCAATTACCTGTGGCACATACCCACACACCAGCAGAACATACCCGCCCCTGGGTATGTGCCACTGTCTGACGGGAAGTGTTTGACGACGTACGCGGCGGAATTGTGATATTATTCATGTCTTGACCAGCGCGTAATATTCGTTAAACGCTCTTACTCGCCCATGCTAATTTTGGTTCACGCCAAGTTAAGGGGGTGACTACGAGAGCGCCTAAACGTAAAAGCGCGCGCGCGCGCACGCGTGTGTGTGTGTGTGTGTGGTGTGAGTGTATATATATATATATATATATATATATATATATATATATATATATATATATATATATATATATATATATATACATACATACATACATACATACATACACACACACACACACACACGCTCAAAGTCGCCAAGTTCGCTAAGAAGTCCTTCGCATTAAAAAAAAAGAGTATCAATGGGTAGGCGCAAAGTCGACTAGTTACAGTATGCAACAACGATCACGAATTTTTCTTATTTTCTGGTTTTATATACAACTAACCTGTGCAGATAACTGTTCAAAACATGCGCTTTCGCGAAAAATAAATGTAAACTAAGTTTCCACACGCCGATAACATCCACTCCCGGTTGACAGACTGCCTGAGGGTAACATAACAATAGAAAACGACGGAATATATGATAGGAAACATCAGTCACGAATTCCGCATATCCGTCTTTTCGGCCGATGCTATCTGCCTCTTTCATGTTCCTGTACTGGCCTCTGCCAATTTGGTAGGGTGCGATGAACCTTCATCTCCACACCCCCCTCCGATAGAGAACCCCGCGCACGCTTATGTACCCTACAGAAGGTAGTAAGCTCATCCCGTAAAATGGTGGGTAGACGCTATCAGTACTTCATTATTTTCGTGCATTTAATATTACGCCACGCTGCCACTGAAATTACAAGGCAGTCCACGACCCATGAGCCATCAAGCTACGCACGCACGAAGCTCACTTCCTCGATGGATGAATTGATATGACTGTACCCTTTAGATCGGGCGGCGGCTAACGCCACCTAGCCGTAATACTTAGTGAACAAAAACTAGATTTATGTTTTCTTCTCCTTTAAATGGTGAAGTTAAGCATTGGCACTTTTCAGTGAAGGATTTAATTTTCGCTCGTGCCTTGATTGTAGCCACTAATCGGATAACCTCCTCCTAGTTATTTCTACCCGCTAGAAGTGTAAGGGTAGACGCTATCAGTACTTCATTATCCTCGCGCATTACGCCACGCTGCCACTGAAATTACAAGGCAGTCCGCGGCCCATGAGCCATCATGCGCGCCTGCCACCTAGCGAAGGAGAAAACAGAGCAGCCAAGAGCACTTCTCGACGAAGCGACGCACGGCGGCGCAAGGAGCGGCCAGCGCACATTTCGCGTTGCGGCGCTCCCTCGCTGAGGGCGCCACGCTACCGCCGAACGTTTTGTCGAGCCCCAGAGGAGGCGCCAGTCGAACGCACGCGTGGCTAGCACGGCGTCGGAGACTCAATGCGCACATCGCCCGTAGCACCGTTGCCTGCAGCAGCCGAGAACGACCGCTACATCTTCGCCGTCGCGTTCGCCGTATCCTACCATCGTGCTCGGCACGACGGTACAATCGCGTCAACATCGACCGAGTCTATCTTCCTGCCGTTGTTTCAAACTCATTTGACAAAATCACAAAAATCGCTCAACGGAATAACAAAATTTTGCATGTACGTACAAATGCATGCATACAAGTACGAGCATACATAAAGGGTGAATGAAGTCCCCCCCCCCCCTTTCCCCCTCCCCCCCAAAAAAAATTCTGGCTTTGTCCCTGACTACTAAGGCCGCCAATGATACACACCACCAGACGAGAAGTCTCACGCAATAACAAAGGGTACACTGGGGACACGTCGGATAGGTCTGCTCAATGGAGGCCCTAAATGTACAGAAAACGAACTGCCCGATAATGTTATCAAGGCCTCGCATACCAGGAGCGACATGCGGAGACGATCCTCGACCGTGTCGGCAACCCACCGCCTTTCCTTATCTTGCCACTGCGCAACCATTTAGTGCCACTCTGCTTTTCCTCCTGACGAAAATGAAACCAAGAAAAGCTGTTTGCGGCCGCCCCGGCGCCACTAGGACCGAATGGCGTGAACGTGGGTCTGCGGAGGCGCGCACGCGGTGACGCAAGGCGATAAGGCATCCGTGACAGCTCTTTCGTACGCGCAACGGTTCCTTCCCTATTGTTCCACCTTGCAGGGCGAAATGTCGGTCATCGTCGAGCAAAGATGCATCTTCCCAACGAGCCACTTTTCGACAGAAATCGTTCTTCGACGCAAGTGCACTTTTCCGCAGCGCTTGAGCGCTTTCCCGTGAACGCAGCTTCGCAGGCAGCCTGAAAGCCACGCACATGCAGAAGCGGCCGACTCAAGCTAACTGGAAGTACACGACAATCGGCATTCATCGAAGTCCACACAATTATTCAATGTCACATTCAAGATACCTTTCGCATTCTTGCGGGCTCTCGTCAAAGATGACCAAACTGAAACGGGCAAACATTGCGACGCAGATCACAGCGACCCGCGGCGTTTAGCTAACTGCAAGTCGCAGTGGTGACACCGGTAACCGTCCCCACGTATTGCTCAATATTCCGCTGCTGGACAGACGGGTGAGACACTTGGCGTGCGCACGTTACCCTTTAGGGGGGGGGGGGGGGGTCCCTATTATAGTCGGTCCCCGCACAAACGCCTGTGCGAGAAAACACGACGAGGCAGTGCTGTCAATTTGCGAGCTCCAGCAATCTCGAAGCTGCAGCGAGAGCCGCCGGCACACCCCCGTTTATTAGCGGCCACGCGACGCCTGGCTCAGCTCCAGGATCGAGCCTCTGGTTCGACAGAATGTTATTGTACGATGCACTTTTGCCTCGGAGCACAACACAAATGTTTACAGAGGCCGCCGCGGTGATGCCACACGTGAAACGCCACTCCAGCGCGTTTATCGAAGAGGGCAGCCTATCCGATGGGAGAAAAACAACCCCTTCGGTTGTTTCGTCCACGTGCACCGCTCATTTACGTCGAATGAAATATTGCAGTTCATTCGCCGCTGGTCCGTACGACAGAAGACGACAAAATGGCGAAGCGTTAAATCGTGCAGGGCTTGGAACAGCGAAACTGGTCGATTCTGCAGAGCGTAATCTGGTTTCTTCTAGCCAGGTCATGCGCCGTTGTTTCTCAGCCATTCGTTTGGCATATTGTTGCCTTCATCTTTAGCGGACCAGTATAGTGAAATCAGCACAATTTTTATGGCACACACCAGTTCATGACGATAGTTTTATTTCTTGTTTTAAAGAATCGAAAAATATTAAAAAACGTAAACTTTCTGATTACCTAGAGCGGAAACGTAATGCAAGTCACGTAAGAAAATCGACATTTTTCTGAATTCCCAGCTACATCGCCCACGGAGGCATGCAGATCGCATCAAACGTTCAAAACAGATCATGTCGCACGGAGAACGGCCTCGTCGAAGCCCAACGATTCAGGGAAAGCCGTTACGTTGCCGGTGCGCTTATGACACGCAGCGGATAACACCCACGCGAAGGTTTCTCGCCTGTTACTGCCTTATTTTGAATCCACGCGAAGGTTTCCCGCTTGTTACTGCCTTATTTTGAACCACAGCAGATGAAGAGCACCGCTAGAAAATGCCCATCGAATCTACGCGCGGGCAACGAAGGCCAGAATGAATTTATTTACCACTGCCACACGCTATCACAGTGCATGGTCAACAGTATGCCATCCGCTACAAATTTACGTCGCCGCCTTGTTGAAGGCGATGAGCGCGCAACGCCAGCGATCATTTCGTGCCGATGTTAGCATCGGTAAGCAGCTGAAACGCTGTGGTGCTAGAACGTTGACGAAAACCAGCCGATTATGAAGAATGAGGATGTAAAGTGTACTATGGGATGTATAGGACATGATTAGAGTATTGTAATAATAGCGATAGTTATGCGAAAAAAGTAAAGGGGACGAAACGGTGCCAGAAAGGTATAAGATACGGCCTCTCATGGTTGCGCCGTATGTTTACCGATCCGCCAGAACGAAAGTTCAGATTTACGGCCCATTCGGGACCATTTTAACCGCGTTGAGGTGACGGTGAAAAACATTTGTATTAATATATTTACGGTGAGAGGTGTGGATAAGGCGAGTTT